CCTCAATCACTGACAATGAATTAAAGTTTTCAATATCTTCAGATATTTCTTTGATTTTGTTAGATGATAGATCCAGTCTAGTCAGTTCCACCTGGTCCCACCATCTCTCATCAACATCAAATAGAGCTGTTGCACGGAACTAATCAACGGGAGGGTGTGGCTAAAATTGAGCTAAATTGTCCGCCATGTTGGGTGGCAAGAAGGCCAAGAATGAATGGGGGAATGGAGAAAAAAAATTAAATAAATTCTGCAGTTGACATTCCAGGCTAATACAAGTTAGGAGATGAAGATATTGAGTGAAGAAGTCTCTATAATATTCTGCAGTGAAGTATGATATCTCTTTGATGAAAAATAGCAGTTTGTTTCCATTCTTCCATTCGTTGCGTGTACATTCTTGCCACTCAAGATGGCCGACAGGAAGCCTCGCCTACCCCGTTAATTACATCCGTGCAACAGCTCTATGAAGCAGTACTACCATCAGGAGGATCAATATTGAGTCTCCACAGTTTAGGAGGAATAACACTAATGCCCCTGTAATTATACACATTCACCCACTAACTTTCATACATCCACATGTTCATTAATGCGTCATAATAATGAAAATCCAAAAAATCATTTTTGGTGAATTAAAAAACATGTTACAAGTCTCACACAGCCTCCTACCTGTTTGACAGGTTCAGTGAACCGGTTTTACGAGCTTGTTTCAATAAGGATTCTGGTACAGTCCCCTCCTTACCTACCCCATCACTTTCACTAGGAGAATTGAAGAAGTTTGGATTTGGTTTGAGTCTAGTAGAACCAGCAGGAGATTTTCTACTGGCACCACGACTGGAACTCATTTTATCAAATTTGAATAAATGGGTGTGGTCTTATGTTGCATAGTTTGGGTGGGGCTGGTATTTTGGAAGAATGGCATCTAAAAGTGAGGGCCACTATTCTCTTCTCTTTGTATCTCTTTCATTCATTCTTTGTCTCTCTTACTCTCTCACTTACTTTACTCCTCTGTATCCTGTCCTTATTCTAATTCATCACTATATTACTGTTATTCTGTTACTGGTACCTCTTGTTCTCTATAGACTATCAACCAGTGGGGAGAGAGGAACACTCCACAGTAAAGGTAGGAGACTACCTATATATGTGGGGTGGGGTCGGGTCTGGAGTAGACTATGATGTGATGGAGGTGTATCACTTACCAACTGGTGCTTGGGACCAGAAACCTATTACTGGTACCCCACCACGAGGTATATTGAACTATTCATCTGTTGCTATTGGGAAGGACGTATATTATTTTGGTGGATATGATGGTTTTGGTTATCATAACAACTTACATTGTTTCAATATGGATTCATTCAAGTGGAGGGAACTCTCTCCTTCTAGTTCTGATCATGGTCCAATGAAAAAGGCCTACTGTGGAATGGTATCAGCTTATTTTGACGGTGAAGACTATC